AATTCTCATTCATTCACTACTTTTAAGTTCTTTCTAGGAGCTGAATTCTAATGTTAAGAGGAAAACAAAGCAAAGGGGTTATTTTCCAAGTTTGCTATGATTAGATTATAACTCTGTCACAACTCAGAATGTATCTTAACTCCCTGATGTGATTTAAGTTCATTTAAATTTTTAGGAAATTCCATCCCTGGATTACTCTGCCCTGGAACATAAGTATTAAAATAATTATACCTTAAATAATGAAATAAAAATAGGTTAAAATGCTAGAGTAAAAAAATGCTAAAGAGGTTGAGAGATCAGTTATATTGATAATTTCAGAAAGTTGAAGTCAAATTGCTAGTAATGACATATCTATGATAAAAACCAAAGTCAATCTCAGAGTTCTGTTTTAGTGAACAGTCTCAAAAATTAATACTTATCTCCATTGTCATTATACAGTTCACATAGAAACATTAATAGCTTTTATATTTAGAAATAAAGGAAATACAATGAGAACTTTAGGGAAAAGTAACACTTCTGTTATTTTCTATTAGTCCATAGAAATAAAAATATTTTTGGCTTTTACTTGGCACAAAATAGTAAATAATGGTGGAGTGGATGAATGTTCATGTATGCAAAAATACCCTTTTTCTACCTTGTATATGAAATTGATAGGATAGAATTCCAAATGAAACATTTCAAAACTTGCAGAACTGTACGGTAAAGGGGTGAATTTTACAGTTTGCAAATTGTACCTTGAAAATTCTGAATGAATATATGGGACACTGTTTTAAACTGAACAGAAACTGAATTTCAGTATACCATTGAGAAAGTAGAAATGAAACAATTCAAGTAGGAGATCCGAAAGGATCCCTCAGTTAAGGATCTCACATATTGCAGGATCTTACCAGGGAACTAGGAAATGAACATGGGTACAAGATTCTTGTTCTCTGAATAATGATAACCTCCTGGGTTATCATTATAGGAGGTTATCTTATTAGAGATGAGTATTTTCCACTCAAAATTTGAATGAACATGCTTTTGGGTATGTTGTATAAAATGGCACATCAGCACAGCAGCACTGTCTGTATCAAGAAAATCGAACTCTGAAGTGTTTCAACAATCATAGGCCAAGATTTGGTGTCAGATTTGCTGACAACCTTCTAGTATGATTTTATTTTCCAATGTTAAATGTTTCAGAGGGACTTCTGTGTGTCAGAATCCTTCAGTGAGTACTTAGCTATTTGGAATATTTTAGTTACAGCATTTGCATTTTTCATGAGCTTCGTGAGAAAGCAATTTGGGGACAGTTTAGATTAGTTAGATTAAGTCAAATGTTGAGGAAACCAAGAAAAACTGAATACTCATGAGTCTAATCCAAGTCACTCCATTAGTCCATCCTGAGACTTAAGAAATTCTGGGGTCCCAGGACGACCAGGGCTTGTCTAATAGAGGTCTTAGGGAAGATGGCTCTGGAGAACTCATAGCCATATATCCATCACTAAATTTAATGAAGCCAAGACTAAAGTGTGGATATGTGTCTACAAATTCCCTTTTAGTATTTACTATTAAGTAAAATAGATAATTATTTCTTGTCTACTTAGTTTTGTATTCCCTTTTGAATACTATAGTAAGATTAAAGGCATAGTGATTTTTTTTAAAAAAAAAAAGCATCTTCAGAGGCTGCACTATAAAATTTATTTTTATTTCTTCTCTTGACTGCCTTGTGAGGAAAGGAAAACTTCCATTGCTTGAAAAAGTTCATGTACTCTCAACCATCTCTCCTCTTTTATAAACTAATGTAACTGATTGTATTAGTGAACACATCTTTGACAGTTCCCTATTTCTCTTTAAATTTATTTGAGCATTCTTATATCCTGTATTTACATATCCTGCTTCTTCCATAAACTGTTATTTCCATTTATCTTTTGTGAACCTATTGAGCCTGTCAAACTGGAAAGCTGTCTTACAAGTTTATGTAAAGTCTGGGTTTGGTTGAACTACTCTGGCTAATGGCTGTTAACCTCAACTGCATATGTTGCTTTGAAAAATGATCACTTTTAAGTAGATCTTCTTCCATTGTAGAAGGTATCAGGTTTTTGGGGGGATTATGGGAAAATATTATCCAAATTACCAATCAATCTATTGGTAAAATTATGGCCAACAGAGTTTTTGAAAGGAAGAAGGCACTTAATTTTAGAGTAAAACAAAAGCTACTTACACTCAAGTCGTCTCTACTGGTGCAAACCATTCCTTTACACTGAATGCCACTATCTTTTAAAAAGTCAAATGCACATGAACACATTCTTTTTTTTAAAAAAAACTTACTGTCTTAAAACCTCAAATATATTCTAAAAGCAATGTGATGAAATTCAATACTAAGTTCTGATTCAGAAAGCAATACTACATATAATTTGTATATACACAACCTAAGAATTTATATTTCTTTTAAACAATCCCCCTAAACTTTGTAATGAACTATTATTTATGAGTTTTTCTAAATTTTTAAAATATTCCTTGGGGCTAATGCTGTGGCGCAGTGGGTTAGGGCCCTGGCATGAAGCAGTGGCATTCAATAGGGATGCCAGTTCTAGTCCCAGCTGCTCCTCTTCTGACCCAGTTCTCTGCTATGGCCTGGGATTGCAGTGGAAGATAACTCAAGTCCTTGGGCCCCTGCACCTGCATGGGAGACCCAGAAGAAGCTCCTGGCTCCTGGCTCCGGATTGGCACAGCTCCTGCCATTTCAGCCATCTGGGGAGTGAACCAGCAGATGGAGGACCTCTCTCTGTGTTTCTACCTCTCTCTGTAACTCTGTCTTTCAAATAAATAAAAATAAATCTTTAAAACAATAAAATAAAATATTCCTTCTTTTCTCTGCTTTCCTTGGATTTTCCTGATGGTTGGAATACTTTTGTTATGCCAAACAAAAGTCAGTTTTAATAAATCACTGAAAACAAAATATTTTATGAGTATTTTGTACAAATCATCTCAGAAGGCAGTTCAAATAACTGGCTCTAAATAATGCTCAAATACTTTCTCAGCTTGGGAAACTCTTCCACTCTGTACATACCAAGATGAAAGCATTGCCCTAATGGCTAAGATATCTTGACATCATCAGCCAGTTTGCTGTTTTGCTATTAGGAGTCAAGCTTAAAATGTATTGGGGCTGATGCTGTGGCAAAACACGTAAAGCTGCCACGTACAGTGCTGGCATCCCATATAGGGGCCGGTTAGAATCCCGACTGCTCCACTTCCCATCCAGCTCTCTGCTATGATCTGCGAAAGCAGTAGAAGATTGGGCTCCTGCACCTGTGTGGGAGACCCAAAGGAAGCTGCTAGCCCCTGGCTTCGGATCAACCAAGCACACGTCATTGCAGCCATTTGGGGAGTGAACCAGTGGATGGGAGACATCTCTCTCTCTCTCTCTGCCTCTTGTAACTCTGCCTTTCAAAAATATATTTAAAAAATTGCATTGATCTGAGTAAATTGAAATTTTAGTTCTTAATTATTTTTCAAAAAATTGGGGAAGAATCATTTTGGGATTCCTTATGTGCAGTTTTTCCCATCATTCATTTGTAGATTATGGGTGACAGCAGTTAGATGTTGATTTTTTAAAAAAAGGGTGGCTTTTGTGTTTTAAGATCATAACAATTACTTCAATAACTTTTATATAAATAAACAACAAAATCAAGCATGTTTACTTGGCATAACCTCCATTGTATATCTGATTAAAGTTAAATTTGCTTTTGACTCACAGATAAATCAAGTACTGAATGTTTCTTGGAGGTTCAAAGACTCATTTATCATTGGATCACAATGAGCAGCCTGTTCAGTAGGTTATTATATATAATTTTAGAAAATGGGTTTTAAAGACATGATTTTAGGAAGAGCAATAACAAGTCCATTTAGATCTTATTTTTCTATCATTAGAACAAAGAAATGGACATTTTAGTTCTTTAAAAAATGATCTCCATCTACTATATTTCACTGAATGCTAATTATTTTTCTTGACATGAGAGGATATGAGTAAGTGGGTCTGATGAGACTTATTTAAAATAAATTGAAATTAAAAAGTCATAACTCAGTGTGATTTTTATCTTTTACTGCATCCCCCTATAGCATATGTATACTGTATTGCTGATATCTTTGATGGAGAAACTGCTGTACTGCCTAAAATGACTACTCACTTGAGTGACACTGCAAACATAAAAGTTGAATTTCATCTAATCAATGTGAATTGTAGTCAAAATTCACATGGTCACTGTTCCTAAAGGTTAGACTCAAGGACTACTGTCATCTGAACAAACACTTGGATGATTAATGTAAAGCAAATTAGATTCAGTTAATATTCATTGAGCATATATTATGTGTCTTGGAGATCCTACGTATACTTGTGTCTTAGAAAACAATATGACCATAAAAATTAGGAAGTTGTCTAGCTTTTTGTGCTTATTAACATGTACCCCAACATTAAGCTATTACAGAGATTTGCCTGGTTTGTACACAAGGAAGCCCAGAACTAATTTCCAATTGTTTCCAAATTTCAAGAAGAATATACTGAAATCATTTAGTAGATCAATTCTGGTTTTTGTCTTTCTGACCCTTGCAATGCAGATATCTATTGGTAACATAAAGGTTCAAACAGTACATCTGCAGCCAAAGAAAATCGAACCACTTTGCACTGAAGTTTCCAAAAATATAAAGCTCTAATTATGAAGCAAGCAATACCACCACTGGACAGACAGGTCACAACACTGCGTTCACAGGATGCATCCCCCACTCACTGCCGTAGGCCCTAAGTCCTACCCCTAAATTTTAATACTTTCGGTTCCATATACGTTGTAACCTTCTCTATAGGTTGCTAAATTCTGGGTATTCTGCGAGGAAGTTGGGTTAAAAGTCTGTGCACTCTTTGCCACCTTCATTCTCTTCGCTTCTGCCCTGGACTTGTAACAGAACTCTATCAAAGCCACCAGCATTGCCAAGCCCAAGCCGCCAACCAGAATGTAGAAGACGCCTGC